CGACATATATTTTGTCCCTTTGATGCAGGATTTATTAGGGCTGGGCGATAAAACGATAGCGATATCTATCGCGATAGACACGTGATCGATATCAATAGAAAATACGTTCGATAAAATGTCTAATAAAACAGGAAGAAAATCACCGTCCTGAACCGCAAGGCATTCTGGGGGATGCAGTTCCAGCGAGGGCTTCAGCCTCTCCCGGCGCTCCCGGCCCAGCTAAGCAAGTTTGGTTGCATGAACAAACTCACTCACTCACTGCTTGTAACGTATGTAACGTTCCAATAACCTGCTGAGTGAGACGCACACTAGCAGTTTCATGTTTGGTTGCACCCGCGTGACTCCTGTCTGCAACTCATAACAAAACAGTGAAAGGAGAAAATATGCTCGTTTGAGATGAACTGCGTCTCGCCTGGAAAGTAGACGAGAGCAGGCGGCCGCAGCGGGGGGCTGTGACAAAAAGCCACGGTGAAGTCGGACAGTTTCCCAACAGCTTCCAGCAGCCTTCAGTCCGTACAGGAAGTCACAGACACACTTACATCCTGTCTGGAATGATGTTTGGCAGTACTTCGGATTTTATAATTAACCAGTATATTTATTTATTTGACTGTTTTTCATGGTTATGTTGACCTCTTTTTCCCATGTGTTCGTTTGTTCATTACTGAGGAAAGATTACATTTAAAATAAAAGTGTTTAAATTTAACATTTTTTTCTTCTGGTCCTTATTTCAAATAGGTTTTAAAAAATTCAATAATTACCGATATCGACTGATATGAAACACTTATATCGTGATACATTTTTCAGCCATATCGCCCAGCCCTAGGATTTATATAATATGATATGCTGATTTTTTTTTTGTCACTTACGCATTTAGCTTGTCTGCAATATTCCGCCACGCCACCTCCCTTGCTTTATTAATCGCTGCCGTATTGCCTTTTTTCGTAATTATGTCTTTATAGTCCTCATACACTTCCATAAGGAGCGTTTGCTCCGCCGCAGAAAAAGCCTCCACTCGCTCCTTTCCTTTGCTTTTTGACATTTTGCAACATTTTTAGCACTCGACTTGTGTTGGCTTTTTATTTTCCCTGGGCGCATGCATGAGTTGAGGCTTAACAGGTGAGGCTTGAATTAGCATCAACTGGAGCCAGCTGATTTCACTTGATGGAACGGGTTGGCGCTAGATTGGGAGTTGGCGTTTAGTCAAACTTCAAGATTACACCTTATAGTCTGGATATTCTTAGCTACATTGATGGAATACCCCCCGGAACGATTCCTCGAGTAAACTGAATAATTCGATTACTAAAAAGCCTCGAGGCAAATTTTTTAAAACTACACAGTGCACTGTGTTTCACATGGATAGATGTTTCTGCTGCAAGAGTGCTTATGTTACTTTTGCTGTTGATAGCCTACACAGCTGTAAAGTGGATGTAGCGCAGATGCAAAACGATGGAGACGAGGGACAAGAGGGAGAGAAAAAAACACGCCAAAGAAAACGACAAAGTGTAGAGTGTGGGATCATCACAAGTTGAAATGAAAACAGTACAGTGTGTATTGCAAAACAAGAGTTAGCATACCACAATAGCACATCCTCGGTGCAACAACATCTCAGAAGAAAACATTCAGTGTATGCATCGAGTTCGCCGAACGGACCACACTAAACAAGGTAACGTCAACGTCCCGTTTAATTGCATAATCAGTGATTGCTTGCAGAGATTCATAACACATGTAAATAGGCCTGTTGCGATATGCGATAAGTCAGTTAATTGCACGGTAAATTTAAAGGGAGACGGTAACTTTCCCGGAGGCGATTATTTGCCATATTCATGCGTGTTTGTTTTCCTTCTCTCTCTCCACCAAAGAGACTGGACGACAAGAGCGTGTTCACTGCCGTGCATCGTCTGGCAGCCAGGTAAGTTGGTTCATTAGCGTAATAAACGGAGGGAAAGCTCTTGTCATCGTCTTTGTCTCTGTGGGGGAGGCGGGGCTATGGGCTACACACACACACACACACACAGAGTGCGATCTTCGTGAGGCGGAGAAAAAAAGAGTTGAGCGTAAGAGAAATACAAATGAACTTGTTCCTAAACCAAATGCTGCGACCCCTGTTACGGAGTATTTTGGATTCAAACCAAATGACAGAGGGGAGCCCAGTAATTTGGACGAGCCGGTACGCGGGGTTTGTTCTAAAACCATCTCAACAAAAAGAGCAAATACAACCAACTTAACTGCAAACCTGAGAGTGAGAGACTGAGAGTCTATTGTTTTGTATTTATAAGGTCTTTATTTATTTATTTCGGATATTTATATTTTCTTTTTTTTTTTTTGCATTCCTAAATATTCTTGTTAAATAAATGTTTTATTTCTCTTTAAAAGGGTGTATTTGTATCATTATGCCTTTATTATCATTATATAATTTTAAAAAATGGGTCTAAAAACAGCAACTTTACAAAATTACAACAATAATAAAAATGGTCTTAAAAGCACAATAATACACAATATTATCGCTTATCGCAATAATTTTTGACGCAATTAATCGCCCAGCAAAATCTGTTATCGTGATAGGCCTTCATGTATATACCAGGCAGTTACAGAGCATGGCTGGTTGCATCCCACTACATGGGGAATTTTAGCCCCTCCCATCAGGCTGCAGATACAAACTCCCAGCCTGCAAAACAAAGCGATATAAAGACAGCTTTGTCCCATCAGCCATTAGAGAGATAAACATAAACAAAAACTCACTCCAAACTACGCCTAAACTGAATTAATGACAGTACAGTTTTTATTTATTTATTTATTTGGTATTGTTTTTAAATTCATATTTTGGGTATTATAATGGTTTTACATGCCCTTTTTGATCCTGCATTTTGATATGACGCACTGATGACACGTTACCTTTTTACTGTTATTATGTTACTGTGTCTAACTTGTTTGTCCATTTTGTGTGGATGAAGCCAAATCACTTAAACTGTGAACCAAATCTACCTTTGGGTACAAATAAAGTTACCTTACCTAAAGAGCATACATGTAATATGGCTTTATAATAGCTGATTAATAACAGAAATCAATGCAGTGGCTAACATTACCTGGCAATGTATCATGTGTATTACCTAAGTTTTGCTATAGAAAAGTAGAAACACTGAGAAAATAAAATGCTTTGGTCAATTTGTTTAAGCCTTAGCTTCATTCATGTTATCATGTTAGTCACTCTTATTCACACATGTACCCCCCAAAAATAATTCTGCAATTAAAGCAATAAAAATGTGGAATTTTCAAAAAAGGAAACAAATTTGTTGCTTATTTCTCTCTTTTCAGATACTTTTTATTATTTAACTTTTATGTATTACTCTTGTCCTTCAATAAAGCTAAAGTAGCAGTGTTTCGTCGTGTTTCAGTGTCTGTCTGTCACTGTAAACCTAGGGGAAACACATGAGTAATTTAATAAAAACACTCAGTATTGGAATTCACTCAGAATAATCAATACAATGCTCGATTACCAACAGAATCAATAGCTGCAGCCCTAGTAGCAACCCTAGTATAGAAGGCAAATCCTTCCATTTGACATCACATACTAATCTTTCAATTTATGCTGCTTTCTCTATTGGCTTTTCTTGGTAAGACCCACCCTACTCTGCCTCTGATTGGCAACATTGCACTTCTTGACACATCTCTCACTTGTCTTGCCCCTTATAATAAACAGTTCAACTCACATTTTGTCCTTCCTATTTGTTTGGCTGACATTTTTTCTTATTTTTTCAGAAAATGCTGGTTTGACATGAAGTAAAAAAATAAATAAAATAAAAGTAGCTTTGCAAGTAGCAAGCTACTTTTGCCATTTTCTCGTAGCTTAGCTTGCTACATTTCTCTGGGATAGCATCAATGTAGTAAAACTTTATTTTGATGTAGAGTAACTGGTAGCTCAGCTCACTACATTTTCCAAGTAGCTTGCGCAACACTGATTGCATAATGCACAACGGACAAAAATAGTGGTCACAAAAGGGTGGATTGCATATATTACCTGCTTTTGATCTGTTAATACAGATATTTGTTTTTTTTTTTTTATAAAAACAAATATCTGTGCACATTGAACACTGACAAGGTAAAGCTAATTGTACTGTACAAACTCCTATCATAAACTTTGAAGACATATAATTCAACAAGAACTGGCCCCACTATGAATTCCTGCTGCTCTCCTTGAGTAATAGGCAGGTGTTAGGATATAACAACCCCGACAGTCACATCCATCTCTATGTGATAAACAGCCCTTAAACTGATTAAAGCTGAACAAGGGAAAATAGTACCTTAAAATAAAAATACAATGATAAACTAGCTTCTGATAAATCTCGAAAAATCGGGACGCAAAAATGTCTACAACAGCAACTGACGTTATATAATTCAAGGCACGGCTAAGAGGTGATCTGGTGTAATGATTGGTTCTGGATTTTTGACAGGCATAAATCCTTGTCAAAGTCACATTAACGTATTGTACTCGCCTTTTATATGTTAGTCACTTTAAGAGTTATTAAGGTTGTACGAAGTGACAGAAAATTAAATATCTGCTCTAAACCTAACGTATTTGGGAGATGTCTCAGGTGTACGTTGTGTTAACCAGCTGTAACATCACAGGTAGGAGGTCGTATCATACGCCTGTCCATAAACTAACTTAGCTACCGTTAGCTGTATAAGGTAACGTTGCACTGATGCCAGTCAAAGCACACAGCTAACAGGGCATGACCGGGATTAACCTGTTTAAATATAGACTAATTGCGCACATTCGGCTCTAATTAATCCAACTATACTTTGCTCGACTGGGTTTTCGTTAAATCTCCCCGTGCAACAGAAGGAACTGTATTTGGGTCATTCCTAGTTAGTAACAGAACTAGCTTTGTGGCTAACTCCTTAGCTAATACTACGTTGTGTCACATATCTCATGTCGCCTAACATTATGTATTTAGCTGCAATGACAACAACATCAGTTCCTATAACATAACACTGATTCTTACCCACTGGAGATTTAACGTTAATGTGCCAGGAAATGCGTGCTATATAGCTTGTTAGCTACAACCTTTCCTGCCGTCCCTGTTCTTCTGGGAGCAAAATGGCGTTTTATCAGAACTTTCCCATCATACCCCTCGCGTCAACAACAACTTACGCCACTTCCGTCAGCTGTCTTCTTCTTCTTCTTCTTCTTCTTCTTCTTCTTCTTCTTCTTCTTCTTCTATCAATTTTTGGCGGATCGCAAACAACTTTCAGGTGCATACCGCCACCTACTGTGCAAGAGTGTGCAACATCATGTCATCCAACCTGTCTCTCAAATCCTACTCATCACCCTAGTGTCCTTTAAGAAATTAATAAGTGCCTTCCTGGTGGTTTTAACCCCCTCTCCCTCTGTTCCCAGTATCCCACTCAAATTCCACTCACGTCATGCCTCTCTGACTTTATCCTGCAGCCTTTCTCGTTCTATTTCATACATGTTACAGTACAGTAGAATATGTTCAGCGTTTTCTTTTACTCCACAGTTCTTACACTTATTACTATTCCTTTTTCCCATAACATACAGCATGCCATTTAGTCCTGTGTGATCTAATCTGAGTCTTGTTTTGACTCTTTCCTCCCTTCTGTTCCTTTCTTTATAATTTTTTATTATGGTAGACTTTTGTATTTTGTGGTATCCCTGTCCTTTTTGGTCTTCCTTCCACCTTTTCTGCTATATTTCCATTCCCTTCTTCTTTATCACTGCTTTCCCTTCTCCTTTTCCTAGTGGAACTGGCACTGTTATTTCCTTTCCCAGAGCTGTTTTTGCTAATTTATCAGCACACTCATTCCCTGCTATACCCACTTGTCCTGGCACCCAACAGAACTGTATCCTACTTCTGTACCACCCCTGTGTATTCTGAACAAACTGTGATAAATGTCAATGAGTAAGTCTTCTCTTCCAGATGATGCTGATTGAATACTTTCCACTACAGCTATTGAATCTGTGCATAACACCACCCTATCTGGTCTGACCTCTTCCACCACCTGTAACCCAATGATGACTGCCACCATTTCTGCTGTGTATACTTATATTCAGTCTGACAATCTTTTGGAAATTGATATATACTCAGGGCTGTAGCTACACACCAATTCCCACATGTTCCTGTTAATTTTTTGACCCGTCTGTGTATATTTATGTATATTTATATATATTTATTTATTTATATTTTATGTATATTTATATCCAAAGCGAAGGGAGCGCTGATTTTTTTCTCATTCACTCCCATGTAATCTGAGAGAAGAAATTTCTGGAAACAGCTGAGGTGCAACACATTTGTAACTCGCTCTGGTGACCCCATTTTGGACTCTATAAATATAAAACATGACACGTGCGTTCACGAGAAGTGGCTCTCTCTCACCATCACTTTATTTTCATGATGGGACCAACGGTTTGGGTAGAGTTCAAACCCAATAAAAACAGCCTTTGCTGATCTGCTCTCATGAGCTCTCTGTGTGCCCCTCAAGTGCAGGCAAGTCAGGAATCGCCATGACAATGGTTGCATACACAGACATGCATACACAGCCCTCTATTCATACTTGAATTTTCTCTTCAACTTGCTCATACGGCCACAATTTTCACTGTACATACACAATTTATACCACAAAACGTAGGAAAATTTGTCCTGGTCACAGAAATGTTGACATGGAATCTCTCACACGTACACATTTTTGCTGAGTGGCTCCAAAGCGAAGGGAGCCACTCAGGGGGCCTTAACAGAAACATGATGTGTGTGTGTGTCTACATCTTACATGCAGACATGACAGGGGCAGAATCTCCATTTTAACCCTTTAGTTGCCAGAGTTATTTGAGGAAAACATTCATTTCAACATTTCAAAAGGCTTTCGCTTGAAAGTGGTGAGAGATAAAGGCATACTGTAAATGAGAAAACTATTCATCATGACCCAAAGTTTGTGATGGGAGTAAATTAACTCATCTAATTTGCATATTGTGGCGTCACTAGGCGGCGGCCATATTGGATTTCATAAATCTCTGTAAAACAGCATTTTATTTGCACAGCAGATTTCTTTTGTTTTGTGCTGTTTTTGTCATCTCGTCCTCAAAATAAAG